AAAAAAAAAAAAAAAGTTTTCTATTTCGCGGATTTCACTTATCGCGGGTCATTTTCGGAACGTAACCCCCGCGATAAACGAGGGATTACTGTATTGTGCTTCTTTATTTGGACAGGGGCATATTAACTCATTGACTGGCAGCCATTTTCAGAACAGAGAGTCGCTCACTGCCAGAGTTTTTTGAGCATTTTGACTGATTTTTCAAGAGCCACAGAATAGTTTGTGCTATGACTATGTAAACACCGAACACACCAAAAGAAAGAGTAGACTCTCTTCTTTCATCAGGAAAAAACTTTTTTGTTTCCACCTTATTCCGTTCTTCCTGGACTTGCGTCTCACCGGCGCCATTTCTCTCATAGCGAACCATTGCGTTTGTTTTTATTAGCCTACAATCTATGCTCATCTCCCATCAAAAGTGGCACAGCTACCTAGAGGCTCAATTTGTTACTACATACTCTGTCTAGAAGCCCATATTTACGGAAAAACTTTCGCCGATCGTCCCCCAAGCCACTCGCATTGAAAAACATAAAAGACGTCTATAGACGTCTTTGGCAGCGAATGAGTTAAAGAGAGCCGGTCTAGTTATTCAGATCCTTGGGAATGACTTTCTTTAGCTTCTGGTCCCCCGGCGAGGAACCGTGGGTTCGTACCCGGGACGGTCATCCCCCCGAACTGACCTGAAGCCGATGATGGGGCACTCCTTGCAGATGTTGCACTTGGCCTGGTGCTTGGCGGTCTCGGCGGCGGCCACCCGATGCAGCACGGGCAGCCACACCATGGACTGAGGCTCCAGGCGCATCCAGTCCAGGAACATGGCCGCCTCCAGCTCGGGTTTGTTGTTGGCCTAGGAAAGAGGGAGCAAAAGGACGTCGGCCCTGGACTACGCAAAACGGAACACACCCGCGCAAATAGGGTTTCAAAAAAGTCAACAAATGTTGGGCCAGAAAATCAATAATGCTTAAATGGGTTGGTTCTGATGCCCCGTCGATCCAGCTATGGAAAAATTTGCTTTCTGAAGTTATTGTACTAGAAAGATTGAGATATTGTATGAACGGGAAATTTTCTGCTTTTAAGAACTCACACTCACACTCACACACTTCAAAATTTCTAAGTTTCAAAAATGAAAAACCAGTAATGTGAATCTGAATGACGTGTATGTATAAAGTGGTTATGTTTGTCATGTGACGCTGTAATTCATGTACATGCCTCCAATTTTGATCTTGTCTTGTTTTCTATATCAGTGCTGTATAAGTTTTGTCCTCGTTTTGTTCTTTCCTTTCCTGTTTTTTGTATAAATATTCAAAATACTTAATAAACATAATTCATAAAAAAAAAACAAAAAAAAACATCCTTTTAGAAATGTCACCTCA